ACCTCAACATTAGGAGGAACTTCCTGACAGTGAGAGCTGTTCGACAATAGAACACACTTCCTCGGAGAGTGATGGAGTCTCCTTCTTTGGAGGTCTTTAAACAGAGGTTGGATGGCCATCTGTCGGGGAAGCTTTCATTTTGAGTTCCTGCATGGCAGGAGGGTTGGACTGGATGGCCCTTGTGGTCTCTTCTAACTCTATGATTCTATGGGTCTATGATTCTATTCTTTTAAAATGGTTGTTAGCATTGTTTTAAACTGATTGTTTTGTAAGCCACACTGAGATCTTTGCAGATAGTGCAAGACATAAATATTTTAAACAGACAGACACACAGACAACAAGAAGCTAGCAGTCAAGTGGATAAGCAAAAGTTCCCCTGTTGTCACTTTGTGGAATTGGCCATCCTTTAGAAAAATTTTAATAGTATGTTTTTGTTTTTTTTTGTGTACCATCAAGTAGTTTCCAATTTATGGCAACGCTAAGGTGACCCTATAATGTGGTTTTCTTGGTAAGATTTTCGAGAGCAGGTTTGCGATTGCCCTCCAATGAAGTTGAGAGCATGTCACCTGCCCAAGGTCACCCAGTGGGTTTCATGTCCAAGCTGGGAATCTAACCCTGGTCTTTAGAGCTGCAGTCCAACACTCAAACCACTATGCCACACTTACATTAAAACTGATCAAGCAATTCAAACTATTAACTATTTACAGGTAACTTTAAAATATGTCTTCCTACCCACCACATATTGGTTCTACATGGTCCTTCTTGACTTTCATTATTCATTTTTTGCTCCTCTACTTTCCAGTTTCCGTGCTTATTTTCCTATTCTTTATATATTCAAAACAAGTTTATTTTTTGTGGAATTGCTATTCCATGCAATGGTATCCCTAGGATTGGCATCACCCAGTGCAGTAACTCATAGTATCACCCCTCCATCAACCTCCTCTCATACACCATACAGAATCGTTAGTAATGCTTTATATACTGTTATTATTTGTAAATCCTAATTCCTGTATATTAGACTGAATTTAATGGCAATAGTTGTGACATAAACAGCTGGCAAAATTAAAATTATACCTTTAAATTACAATATCATACACTAGCCTACATGTATTTATATTGTACATTGTTTCATGTGGTTAAGGTGGATTTTTTTTTTAAATGTGATTTTTTAAAAGAGATAATTTAATTTTTTTAAAAAAATTAAATTAATTTTAAATTAAAATTTTATTAAAAAAAAAAAACACTGGGGCTTCTCTTTTCTCTTCCCATTGAGCCTCGCCCCATTCACACAATCTCTTCAATGTTTTATAGAGATGCACGCAAACTTCAAAATGTATTTCTGCCAAAAGGCAGATATTTGAGGAGCTGTGTTGTCACCCCTTTACGATGTCACCTGGTGTGGTCCGCATCTGCTGCACCACAAAGTGACTCATAAATGGTTGGTCCACCAGAAGTATCACTGTTTTGTGGATTTGGGATGTTATTGAACCACAACCACGTGTTACTCTTCCATTTCCGAACATATAAGAATCTTGCTTTTATGGTTGAAGAATTCTTCCATAAACTCTTTTCTAGTGGACACATATCCAAAGGTAACTGCGTTGGCCATATAGCAAAGTACAATAACATCCCAAATCCTCAAAACAGTGATATCTTTACAGAGACAACCAAAGCGCACAAAGTACATGTTGCAAACTTTTGAAGCTCCACTGGCTTCTTCGTCAGGCAAAAGCACTAATATATATATATATATATATATATATATATATATATATGGAAAAAAATTATAAAATGACGATGTTAGTCACAGGCCTGCATTTTCTCAAGGTGGTGTTGTGTTGTTCTGTGGAGGAGATAGCTATGTAAGCAGGTCCCCTTCTCTTCCTGGCCATGTGGCAATGGGAACAAAATATTCTTCCCTGCTTCCATGGCAATCCAAAAACACTTGTATAACAAAGCTGGATTCAGCGAGACAGTCCAAAAAAAGTATCGCCATTGTTGGTACAGAAATGTGGTTGGTGTAGATATGGCAGATTAGAATGTAGGATGGTACTGGAAGCCAAAAACTCTTAACAGAAAAGGATCGAAAGGAGCATGGCATGCTTGAGAAGATACAAAGACGCATTCTGTCTCATTCACTATCATGGCCTCATCATTTCTTCTACACAAACCTTCCCCTCCCATGTTTGAATTTTCCTTTTCATTCCTTAGGATATGCAATGTACTTACGTTTTAAAGCCACCAGGCTGTGAAGATGGAGCTTATATCTGGAGTATGCCACTGTTGTTGTGGATGTGACCACACTGTAGCTGGGCAGATATGTCTTTGTGTACATCCCTTCCTTCGCACACAATTGCATCATAGCCTCTGGGAATACCCACAGCTCATGACGTTGGGTGAGGAAATGGTCTTCCAGATCACAGTATGGGAAAGTGTCAGCTTACAAAAAGAGAGAGCAGGTGAGCCCTTTGGTTTTCAGGTAGGGCACTTGTCGCTACTTGTAAGCAGAGATTGCCCCATGCCTTTTTTTTTGTTTATTTTTGAAAAAAATGCAACTGGAAAGTCAGATTTGCATAATGCTTGGCTTTGCTTGCTTGCATTCCTTTAGACTAGAGCAACCAAGGTGAATTGTTCAGTTCCTGGAAGGGCAGTTTTTGCCATTAGAGAGTGTGGCAACAGCTTCAGGTGGCAGATGCTGGGGAGAGAAAGGACAGTGCAGCCCCAAAGATAGTCCTTTTGAGACCCCTATCCATTTTCTGTTGGACAAGAGAGGCATCCTGAATCCTCATTTGATTTGTTGCCCTCACCTACTGTGGAAGACCCTGATTTTCCAATACTGAAGAAAGATTCTGCAGGAAGTCCAGGCACCCTCTGTTTGTTGTTGTGTGCCTTCAAGTCATTTCTAACTTATGGCAACACTAAGACAAACCTATCATGGGATTTTCTTGGCAAGTTTCTTCAGAGCGAGTTTGCCATTGCCATCCTGAGGCTGAGAGAGTGTGACTTGCCCAAGGCCACCCAGTAGGTTTCCATGGCCAAGCCGGGATTCAAACTGTGGTCTCCAGTCATAGTTTAACACTCAAGCCACTCTGCCAAGCTACCTCTGTTGGTACCCTCTGTAGTTTGCACCATTTTAAATTAGCAATACTACTCTATAGCCAGGGTGGATCTCAGAAGAAATACCTTTTTGTATTGCTAATGGAATTCAAGTTTTAGCTCCTGGATTTTGGAACATTTTGTTCCCAGTGCCACAGAGCAGAAAGAAGTGGGCTGCTTGCACAGCTATCCCCTCCACTGAACAATACAGCAACACCTTGAGAAAATGTGATCCTGTGACTAACATTGTCATTTTATAATCCCCCCCGTATGATTTTTTTTAATACACTTTTGCCTGATGAAGAAGCTAGTGGAACTTCGGAAAATTTGCAACATGTTCTTTCCGCACTTTAGCTATCCCGAGAAATGTATAACTGTTTGTAAATTTGGGATGTTGTTGTACTTTGCTATATGGCCAACACGGCTACCCCTGGATTTGTGTCCACAAAAAAAGAATTTATAGAAGAATTCTTCAGTTGTGGAAGCAAGATTATTTTATGTTCATAAATGGAAGAGTAACATGCGATTGTTGTACAGTAACACCCCAAATCCACAAGACAGTGTTAACTCTATTGGACCAACCAAAATATACAAAATACATTAATAAAGATATCATTGTTTTGTGGATTTGGGATGTTATTGCATTTTGCTTTACGGCCAACAACGGCTGCCAGTGAATAAGTTTCAAGTGTCACTCTGTACATAAAATGGAATGGGACCATTTTTTTCTTTTGCGTCAGACAGGGAATTGGACTGAGTTGGTCTTGTTTCCCTATGCAAACTACACAAACTGGAATGCAGTAAGTGAGTTTAATCTTACCACTTGATTCACCCTTTCCCCCAAATGGCCCTCATCTCTCTCCCAGCACCTACATTAAATTCCAGGAACAGAAGGCTGAAAATGCCTGTTTCACACCTTGGATTTAGCTTTGCCCGAGTCTGGCAGAAACTGGAGGCGGCGTTCTTGAATCAGAGATAGACATTTCCTGTATTACAAATCCATATTTAGCTCTGTGGAAACCCCCATCAACCTCTCCCAGACCAATGCTGTTCTTTCCTGTACCTAAAAGTCATCCACAGTATCACATGTTGGCTTTTGCTCTTTCTCCATCACTCATTAAGCATGTTATTGTGTGCCTTCACATCATTTCTGTCTTATGGCAACCCATACCATACAGAATCCTTTCTAAATTTTGTACTCATGTTACTCATAATCATCATTCCTGTACATCACTGAATGTAATGGTAATAGTTGTGACATAAACAACTATTACCATTAAAATTATACCTTTAAATTACAATCTCATTCATGCAGCCTAAATTTATTTAAATTTATTTTCACATGGGTAAAGTGAAAATTTGGTAAGACATGATGTTTTAAATTTTTATTTATTTTTTAAAAAATGTTTTAAATAAAAAATTTACAATTATTTTCAAAAGCCTCCTTAATATTAGGATGGGAGAGGAGACACTCCCCCCCCCCCCCCCCCCCCCCCCCCCCCCCCCCCAATACCAGGGATATCCAGGCAGGGATATGAAAAAATGCTATCTAAAACCCTGGTGAAATATTACTACCTTTTAGAACTGACAGTCTTGGGCAAAAGGGACCAATCGCGTAACTCCATATGAGAGGATTTCTAGGTTCTTGTGGCTTGTAATAGAATTGGAAGACACCACAAGGGCCACCCAGTCAACCCTCTGCCAATGCAGGAACACACAATCACAGCATTCCCAACAGATGGCCATCCAGCCTCTGTTTAAAAAATTCCAAGGGACACCCCACCACTCTCCGAGGGAGTGTATTCCACTGCCAAACAGCTCTTATAGTCAGGAAGTTCTTCCTAATGTTGAGGTAGAATCTCTTTTCCTGTCATTTGTATCTATTGCTCCATATCCTAGTCTTTGGAGTAGCAGAAAACAAGCTTGCTCCATCCTCAATATGACATTCCTTCCAATATTTAAACATGGCTATCATGTCAACTCTTAACCTTCTCTCTCCCAGGCCCAACATTACCAGCTCCCTCTACTGCTCTTCATACATCATGGTTTCCAGACCTTTCACCATTTTGGTTGTCCCCCTCTGGACACACTCAGATTCAGATTTAGGCTGTGTGACTGGACTGCCTGATGTGGATTTTTCTGTTATTCTCTGTCCTCACCCTCACTACACAATTCTATCATGCTGAATGGTGTGGCAAGAATCTCTGAAAATAAATTCAAGGCTCATTCCACGGTTGGAACAATTTTGCTGGCAAAAGATTTTGGATTCCAGCTGAAGAAATCCATGGGATGTTCTGTCCCCATATTCAGCCATGGAAATTCCAAACAAAGCCCCATCCTCACCTTTGCTTTTATTCCTTTTGGAGAATTTTCTTCCTTTTTCTGTTGAATAATCTCCCAGCGTGGGTACTGAGATGCCTTGCTGAGCAGGAAGTGGAAAGTTTCTGTAGATATCAGCAGGTTGCACAATTGTTTTTAGACAGCAGGAAGTTCATGGGTTTCACAAAAGCTGAAGTAGTTTGTAGTAAATTATATTCACTGCCACAATGCTATTCAGTGTTGGTACTTTACAGCAATGCTTGATTCCTCATTGATATCAAAATGAAATTTATCCGAAATAATAGAGATGTTGCTTTCATACATGAGTTGTGAGGAAAAAGCGAGACCTGGAGAGGAAAATCCAGGGGAAGAACTGTTGCCTGAGGCCAGACAGTAAGGCAGGCAAGTGTGGGCCAGATGGGCGTTATGCAGGTCACCGCATGTACAAAGATACTGAGTCTTCTTTGGGAAAATTTACATTTTCCCACAATGGAGGACTGCACTTTTCTGGAAATTTAGGGGAGAGCTTGGAGAAAACTACTTATTTTAGAGAACTCCCAAAATCTAGCAGGCTGCCTGGAGAATTCTGGGAGTTCTACTTCAGAAAAGTTTCTCCAAGCTCTGCCTGTTTCCTACTTTAGAAGGGCGTAGAGCCCATGCTCCTTTGCCAAGTGAAGGTTTGTTAGTATATACTAAATTCAGAACCAGTTCAGAGAAACTCCTGTGCACAGTCAGGCTGGAAGGTCAGGACTTTCAATGACAGAATGTGCTTAAACAAGCATAGATTGTCCTTTACTTTTGTTACCAAAATACTGAAGGGAGCAGAAGATGCTTTGGTTCCATTCTGCATCATCTTAGGAGTAAGAAATGAATCAATCAAATCAAGCCGATGTTGCAACCCTTTAGAAAAGAGAAACTCTACCTCATGTTACCTGGGCAAGTGCAAAAGTTTAGGGTACTTTTTTAATTTTTAAGTTTATCAATAGCCTCTTATATACATATAATATTCACAAAGGAGTTCATGATAGCTCATTGCTTTTTAGATGGGTCTGCTGGTGAGTTCTTTCTTGGCTCAGCATCTCTTTTCACTGGTGGTTCATGTGGAGAAGCCCAAGTACAGTTTCCCCTTCAGATTTCAAGGCTCTGAACTAAGTGAAATCCTTGCACTACTAACTGGGCACTGAGAGTAGTCCATATTCATCTGCTGTATCCAAAATTTTACAAATAACTGGTGATTCCACCTAAACAGGAAAAAATATGCATTAGGAGGTGATCTGTCTCTTAACTGCAGTTACAATAATCATCATACTGGGGGAATGGGCAGACCCCGCCATCTATGACTAAATGGGACAAAAGATTTTGTTGTTGTTAACTGGTTTACTAAAAGGAAAATGTAGGGTAATATACCCTTAGAGAAGGTCTCTAAATCAAGTAGCATAAAAGTCAGGTACTTATGAAAGTCAGGTACTTATGAATATTCATTAAGATTTAGAAAATAATTGCTGAACTTATTATATATATATTTACTATAATTATATCATTTAAACCATCCAGAGTAATAATATCATATTGTCTAGAAAATGATCATACAGCAAAAATGAGATTAATTCAAAATAACTATAATGTAAGGCATCCTATCCCTGAAACATAGAAAATACCTTCAAGGGAACAATCACATATGGATAATGTTCAATAATTTGAATATAAGTCTATTTAAGGAAGTTCATGAAGTCTTTTATGTACATTTTTACAGAACATGAATACAGCCTGAAAAATCCACAAAAACCTATGGATGCTGGCCTTCGACTTCACATAACAAGATTAGTTCAGAGGGGATTTGCCACTATCTTCCTCTGAGGTATTGGGATTTGCCCAAGGTTACCCAGTGGCTGAGGAGGGATTTGAATCCTCACCTCTTGGAATCCTAGTCTAGTACTCAAACCACTACACCACACTGGCTCTGCATTTACATTTTTACAAAAAAAAATTATACCATACTACAGGTTGCTAACAATCAAAATATAAAACAATCGGCTGAATCTGGATTTAATCATGCCTAAAATAGATACATCAAAATCAAAGAAAATAGAGGAGAATGGAGGGTGGGGTGGGGTTCATTTTTTTTTTTAGAGGGATGCACTCCCTCAGGTGCCCTTGAGGGCCAATGCAACCTCCTAGTCTCCAAATGCCATCTCTGCATTGAGAAATCAGCTGCTGTTGGACCAAAGTTGTAATGAGAACAAGGGCTGTGCTCACCACCTCTCAAAATTTAGGACTCTCCCTTAATGTAGAGGGATCTCACTGAGGAGGGCACTCCTTTAGACAAAACTCCTTAGGACTTTGCAAAATTAGAGGGTTGCCGTCTGCATGCACATTATAAGCTACTGTACATTGTTAAGACGAATGACAGACACATCCAAAGTCTTTTGGGAGGCTCACTGCTAATCACAAGCATGTCTTTCACAATAGTGACCTAGTACAACACTTTTCCCCTTGTTTTCCTTCCTCGCCAGAGCTGTGAAGCATTTAGATAATTTAGATCAGGGGTAGGCAACCTAAGGCCCGGGGGGGGGGGGGGGGG